CCCCAGTACCTCCATTAAACAAACAAACAAACCTAATTACCACCCTCTTCCAAAAAAAGTAAAGAAAAAAAAAAGATCCAAATGGCAATGGGAATGGGTTACCAGAGAGAATGCTTTGGTTTTAAATAACATTTTATTCAGTGGAATGTAAAAATGCAGGAAAATGCAGAAAGTATATAAACTTTGAATAAGGATTTCCATCTTTTTTTTCCTTAAAGTATGTTAAGCTCTAGAATCAAAAAGACATTAAGTCCCCTTTCTGTCTAGGTTAGCAAGAAAACTGTTACACATTCTCGACTGTCCCAGTTCTCATCAAAATATTTTTAAAGGTCACACACACTCACACACCACCCAAAAGTAAACAGCTTTTCCCAAGAAGTATGTATCATATTGTTACCCATGTGTTTGTGTCATCATTTTAAAATGTCACCTGAAATCCAGTATCTGAATGATGGAGGCAAGAAAGAGCATTTAGTTTCAAGAGTTGCCACAGCCCCACAATGGCTAAACCAAAGTAGAAAAATGTAGTTTTTGTATTTCCAGATATTTCATTTTAGAACTGGAATAATAATGAGGAAGGAGAAACTACTGACAATGATTGAAAGAAATATTCTTTTATAGCTGCAAATATATCTTCAGTTCTTGTCCAGAGAATACTGCTACTTGGTAACAGTGGGATGACAGCCCTTACGAAAGGGGAATTTCAGAATGGAAAGATGATTTCTGTTCAAATCTGATGTTTACTTTTTTAATGAATTTTTTTATCAGTCTTAGATTCATTTTTAAACGTACAAAGATTATACACAGAGAGTTACCATATATCCCATACCCAGTTTTCCCTATTAACAACTTACATTAGTAAGTCATATTTGTCACAGATGATACATTATTATTAACTAACGTCCAGATTTTACTCAGATTTCCTTGGTTTTCCTCTAATGTTCCTTTTCTATCCCAGGATACTACTTCAATTTTAATCATCATGTCTCCTTAGGCTTCTCTTGACTGTAAGTTTCTTAAGACATTATTTATGTTGACCTTGAGAGATACTTTGTTGAAAGTCTGATTTATCTGATGTTTTTTCTCTTGGCTAGATTGGGGTTATGGGTTTTGGGGAGGAAGATCTCAAAGATCCCATTTTCATCACATATTACCAAGGCTACATACAACCATGTGACTCATCCGCTGTTAATGTTAACTTTGATCTCCTTGCTGTGGTCATGTTTGTCAGGTTACTCCAATGAAAATTTACTCTTTTTCCCCTTTTCCATTCTGTCCTCTTTGGGGAAGGAAGTCATGTGTGTAGTCCACACTTAAGGAGCAAGGAGTTTTGCTCTACCTCCTTGAGGGTGGAGTATCTATATTAAACTTGGACAACTTCTGCACCATGGCTTTGGCCATTCTCCCCCATTTGTTTATTTAAGTCAATTTTTCTTGCATTAGTATGGACTCATGGATATTTATTTTATACTTGGGTTATCATCCAAACCTGTTTTCTTTATTTTGTTGCTCAGCCTTGGCCACTAGGTGTTCTTTCAGACAGCTCCTTGACCTTTGACACACACCGGCAACTGCCGGTTCTTGTTGCTGTTGTTTGAGCATTTCCTTATATTCTGGCACTAGAGATGCTCCAGGCTCATCTTGCGCACTAGGGTGTACTCACTGCTTCCAAACTCACCCAGCTGACAAACAAGGAAACATACATATATGTATGCTAACCTTGCAAGCACCCAGATTTATAATTCTTTCTATATGCAACCATCTGTATCCATATTATGCTAAACATGAATTCACAGTGATGTCTCCAGTCCTAATCCATTTCCACATGGATCATTCTAGGCTCTTCCCCTTGCTTATCTGTAATCTACCACTTCAACAGTGAGAAAGCTGGCTCCCATCACCTGCCGTCCATGTACTAAATTGCTTCATTCCAGTATACATGTATAGTGGTACCAGAATTGTCAACCCACACCCCTATGGGAAACAACTTTATCAACTACAGTACAGTACTCATGTACAGTTTCTTTCGCCTCTAGTCCTACAGATTTAACTCATTTCCAAAGTTACTTAGTTAGCACCTTTCCACCCCTACTCCCCTTCTATGAGGTTTTCATACATTTTTAATACAGTTGGATTGTTTTGTCACATTTTGTATTCCATTCTGGGATCCTCTGACCTCTTAAGTGGTTATTTCTCTATTGTCAAACAAAATAACATAAGTTTTACTCTTAATAAGGGGCAGGTTGAAAGTGGGAAGGGGGGAAGCCACTGACTGAACTTGAAAAGAAAGGTACCAGTTTAGAGCTTTTCTTCAATTTGTCTAGGATCTGCTTAAAAATAGAAATGTATTGAAAGCTAATATAATTCATTTTCTTTTAAAATATATTAAAATCTTTGCATACAGTAAGGGACATGGTAAAAATCAAAAGTAAGAAACATAGCTCCCTTTCACAATTAAGACATGGATTTTTCTAGGCGCTTTCAGTAACTTTATTCAATTTTCCTACTTGTAAAATGAGAATAAAAGTTTCTCATCCAGACCAAGAATTTATAGTAGGTATTCTGCCATTCAAGGGTAAAAATGTAACAACTATTTCAGTTTTAATAAATGTAGACTCTATGCGTTAGAAGAAATAAGCTCTACCCCATTACATTTTTTCACACAATTGTGAAATTTTATATTTTCACACAATTATATTCATAAAGTATTATAACCCTGATGATTACTATTTATTCATATCACTAAGGAATTATCTATGTCTAGCAATCAGGGACCCTTGGGCATTTTAAAGTCCTTACAGTTACCAGTATACACCTAGAGTTATTCTTAAGCATGTGGAAGAATTTACAGAGATCTGGTAGCCATTCATGGAAGATTATCTTGACTATAATAAAGTTCCCCCGAAAAAAGAAAAAAAGGGAGAAAAAACATCTTTCGAGGATTTTTAAAAAACATTTTTTATCCTTGTAAGACTGCAGCAGTGCCGTGGATTTACTAACACACAGTCACAAACTTCCGAGGATACAGTTTAAGCTCCTGCTGTGATCATGCGCTTCACTGAATTATCAGAAAAGAAGATATCAAAGGCAAATTCAAGTCAACCTTTGCAGGAGTAAAATGTGCCCAAAGGCCTTTTGAGTTTAAGGAAACCAGCATTCATTCATAACTCATTTCTACTCGATACTTTCCATGTAATGTAATTCACAAGTCCAGTCTTTCTCTGCAGTGAGCACTTAGCAGAAAGCCATGTTTGAGGCCATTAATGAGTATTTCTTCTAAATACTGTCAATAGTTTCTTCTTCCCTATTATTCTAATTCAAAAATGAAATATCTGGGAGTATAAAAACTACAATTTCCTAGTTAAGTTCTCAGAGACAGTATATGGTTAAATCTTATTGAAAAGCCCATCTTTAATAATTTCCACAGAAAAAAAATCTCAAAATACAATAAGAACACCTGTTTCCTTCCCTCGCAGTCTCCCAAGAATATCCAATAAGTCATTCTATAAATAAATCACTATGCTTTTGTACTGATGTAAATTTGCACCAACCCTCCAATTTCTCAAAGGCTGCCTCAGACTAGCAGAAATAAGACAGGAAGTGAACTCATTCCAAACGGGGAGGGAGACCAGAGCAGGAGGTAAGATGAGAGGCAAGGAACAGGATAATGAGGACTCAAAGTTGAAGTGATGTTAAAAAAAAAAAATCTAAAAGGTTTTTTGGAAAGTAGGTTGGAGGAGAGATGTAAGTAATTTACTGAGACCACCGCCTCCATTAAGGGAATCCAATGCTATAAAAGAAGTGCTCAAAACAAGCTCACAGAGATGAACGTTCCTTCAGCCAAGCTCTGCAGTAATTATCATATTGATTTGCAGTACATTAGCACAAAGAAATAGTAAAATAATGAGGAATCAATAAAGTTTGTATTTGAAAATTCTCAAATCCTAAAAACCCTGAACTGCTGGGGTAAGGGCAAAAGGAAAGATCAAATGGCTGCCTAAACACAGCCCCTGAAATCAATGCCTCATCCATTCCTCCCCCCACACAAAAAACCAGGAGTCTCCCTGGTGTCAAATATCCAGAATCACAGCCAAAGAAGAAAGTGTGGACTCAGCAGGACTGACTGCTGCACTCCTCAGAAACAGATCTTTCCCTTGCTTTGGGGGTTCACATTATATGACATCTGACAAAGAGTCCAGGGAGGCATGGCTGCCAAGAGACAGGGACAGGAAGAGTCACAAAGCAGAGCTGGCTTTATTTGGAAGCACTTTGCCAGGCTGCAGACCAGCCCAACTTGGCGGCTATCTACTCCCTCTGGGGATATGAAGGAACCTGGAGAAAGTATTTGCTCAAAGACACATATCACTTGCATCTACAGCACTGGAAGTCGCCAGCAGAGACTGCAATGGAGAGCTACGCTCAGGACTTAATCATTAAGCCTGACTTTCAGTCTCCTAACTCAGAAATTCAGGGACTTAATAAAGTAATCTTTTCATCCTGACTTAAGGGAAGTAATCCTATTAACAGAGTTCAGCATGCCTGGGAATTTACCTGCTTCACTGTGGGTCAAAGGATTTAAGGCCAGATGGATAATGCCACAGAGTAAAGAGGCGCATCCTTGCAGAGGTTCACCTCCCCGTGTGTAAGGTGAATGGGCAGGGGGCTGCGGAGTGCCCAGATAACCTACCTGCCACTCTGGTCTGAGGTCCACGTAACTGATCGCCCCTGGGGTTTGGTCCTGTACCGTATCCTTATGGCGTGAGGAAAGTCAGTAGCTGTCTGAGCCCCTGTCTTCCTGATCTGTAAGCTCCAAGTGTCAGTGTCAAATAGGAGCTCCCCACAGCCAGGAGCCTGGCTGCAGCGAGCGTAGCAGTCTAACTGCTCCCTCCAACGATCTGCAGGCAGAGCCACAAGTTCACGTACAATCTGATTCCTGAGCTTGGGAGACCTTGTAAATTTTTCAATACCTGGCACAGCAGCAACATCCACCTCCTCAACCTTTACCACAGATAAATCACAGCAGTCCAACACTAGCAAAAAATCCTCACTCCCAGGATTCCCCGTGTCACAGCAGTACTTTGAGCTAGAAATCCCAGAAGCCTGTTCCCGGTTGTCATGGTTACCATCTTTACCAGAAGTATCTTTTTCACCTTTACCACAGATTACAAAATCATGACATCCCACTTTAGATGAGAAGGTCCTTGTATCTGTCACAGGAATATGGCAGGGTTCAGGCGTCCTAAATTTGCAGGCTTCGTTAGCCTCTGATGGGCACGTTTCCTCGGTGGGACTACCTTCTTTCTCGAATCTGTTTCCAGGCTCAAAGAAAAGCACAATGGTGCCCTCAATGACCTGACTTTCAAAATCCACATCCAAATCCAGTACATAGTGCTTCACAAGTATGTGGCTGGTGTTGGCCAGGAGAGGCAGGTCATCTCGGGAAGGGTCCAGCTTCATGTCCATGGTGTAGGTTGCTGTTTGAGAACTTTGTTAAAAATCTCAGAAGGGGCTTCCTCCTGTTAGTCCCAATCTTCTGGAATCATAAGTGTCTGCTTACCAAAAAACAAGTCATGTCACAAATTATGGTTCCACAACTTTCAGTGCCCTGGTAAAGAAGAAAAACACAATTAGACAGAATTCCAAATAAGACCCATGCTCCTGTAACCACTGCGCCTGCGAGTTGCCTACCTCCTTCAGTTATCTCCCAACGTAGCAGAAGCTCATGGCTAGAAGGCCGACTAAGCTTTTTGACTGACATCAAAGAAAGCTGCATTATGGGTTTCTAAAAATATTTCAATTATCAATGGCATGAAAGGGACCCCCACAAAACCAGAAGAATCACGCTCCTAACTAGAACAGTCTTTGTTTTGGAAAAAAGCAATTGTTAGTCAAAAGTGTAACTGAGCATCACTATGCCTCTTGTTTTAAAAGATATTAAATGTATCGTTTCTAATTTTGTGCATCAAAAGATAAGTGATTGCTTCTCTACTGTGATTCTAAGTAACAAATGTGAATGAAGGCTAAATGGCCTCATACGTTTTATTCTTTGAGAGTAATAATTTAATACATACAATGTAACTCCAGGGATTAATGTACTTTTCACATTAGGACTGCTCTCATATCAGCACTTCCAGTAAATTACAGGAAAATGAGCCAATTTACCAGGAGTGCATTCTAAGTATTCCTTTGAGATTGTTCATGGAGATTTTTCAAATTTATAGTTAAATACTCAAGGTATATCATTACATCTTAATAGCTGAAAACCCATTAACATTCTGGATAATAGCCTTCTTGTGGCAAACAAAAAGGTCTTCTCATTTGAAAAAAAAAGAAGTATGCAAATACCTATAAAAGGAAGTAGAGAAATTAAAACGTAGAAACAGATGTTGTAATAAAATGCCCAAGTACTTCATAAAAGTTCTGAATCAAAATGTAGTCTTATTTTATAACAGCAATCTAGCTAGAAGAAAAATTACTTGAAATTTTCTCAGTCCCTGTCGTGTACCTAATTTCTTCCAGCATATGCTGTTTGGTTTTTTTTTAACCAAAAATGAAAACAAAAATGGCAGGGGAAAAGAAATAAACACTCTGACTAAGCAGATATATTTTAAATCATTTTTGTATTTCTAAATATCAAGAGGTATTTTTATCAAGTACAACATTACTTAATTTCAAGTAAAATGGAGCCCTCTCTTTATTCTGTTTAACTCCTCCTCATTTTTCTTCTGACTTTATCTGCCAATCCACTAGACTCTTATTTCCTTTCCTTCTAGGTTCTCATTCTAGCAACCAAATCTATTGAGTTTTCATTTCCTATACCTCCACAGGCTACTTCCCCATAAAAATCTAACCTAACCTTGGGAAAAAAAAAATGCTGGCTTCCCTGCGGCACTGTATAATTTGGTTCCATGCTATTTTCCCAGTCATGGAGGCCACACGCCCTTTGAATGAATCCTTGTCCCCTAGACAAAGGGCTTGCTGAACACACTGCTCCCTAAAGATGACCTGACTCCGCACCTCCAGGCTTTTTGGACTAAACGGTGTTCCAAATGTGGACTGCTCCTGGCTCGCACCTTCCCCATCCACCTGCCAAATTCTGTTCTTCCACACTCAGTTCAAGTGCAACTGCTTCCCAAAATCCTTCTCTGCCCTCTGCTCTCCCTCCCCTAGCCCCACCAAACTGTATGTCTTTAAGAATAATAGGAATTGAGAGGTAGTGGGGATGCAAAGAAGAGTCTGAGATGACTTTACAGAGAAGCTGGCACTCCCTTCGGTCTTATAAAAGTTAATAGGAAAAAAACCCCCACAATATTTGTATTTTGACAATAAAATGTAGATCAACTTCTCTAGTAGAAGACTGGAATGTAGGTCTTGGGTAAATAATTAGGTAAAAAAAGATTCTTACAAGCATCTTTCAGGCAGAATTTTTAAGGTTGATTAAGACCTCCAGAGCTATTAATAAAAAGAAACAAGAAAAATACTCAGCCTACTTATTAAGAAAAAAAAGAAGAAGTCAATGGACAAAGGGAATAAGCCAGAGTATTTTCTTTTTCTGTATGAGAGCAGTTGAACTTGTCATGTAATGAATAATAACCTTCAATAAAGCTACTGGCTATATGTAAGGAGAAACAATGAATGCTAAAACTTCACCCTGCTGGTGTTTGGGAAAGTTATCATGCAGTACTGTGTTGATTGGGCACTTAAAAAAAAAAAAAACTTGTGTAATTTACAAAAATTGGATATACACACGGAGTCAAGAGAAGAATCAGAATCAACTGGAACAAGGGTAAACTTTGTGGCTGTCTCAACTATTACATTTGAAAAAGAATAGTTTACATTTGTAACAATATAGATATAACTAATTATTGTCTAATCCTAATAGATGCCTTTATCTACTCGTGAAAGGTAATATAAGGACGAAATATATTCCATAAACCAGTTTTCACCATTTTTGTTCCTGGTGGCAGGCAATGAAGCTGCCTTAAAGCCCTGGCCATCCAAGCCAGTTAATGAGACTTTATTTGTAAACCTAAATGAAAATTCTTTGGCCCCCTTCAGTAGGTTCTCTTTTTTAAAATTGAAGTATAACTGGTACACAATATTATTTAAGTAAGAGGTGTACAATATAGTGATTAACAATTTTTAAAGGTTATACTCCATTTAGAGTTATTATATAATAATGGCAATATTCCCTGTATTGTAAAACGTATCATTGTAGCTTATTTTATACAGAATAGTTTGTACCTCTTAATCACCTACCCCTACATTGCCCCTCCCCACTGGTAACCACTAGTTTGTTCTCTATATCCGAGTCTGCTTCTTTCTTCTTATATTCACTCAATATTTTTTTATATTCCATATATATGGTATCATTCAGTATTTGTCTTTCTCTGACTTACTTCACTTAATACCCTCCAAGTCCATCCATATTGCTGCAAATGGCAAATTTTCACCCTTTTTTATGGCTGAGTAGTATTGCATTGTATGTATATATACCACATCTTCTTTATCCACTCATCTATTGATGGACACAGGTTACTTCAGTATTTTAGCAACTGTTAAGTAATGCTGCTATGAATACTGGGGTTCATGTATCTTTTCAAATTAGTGTTTTCATTTTTTTGTAGATATAGATATAGATATAGATATAGATATAGATATAGATCCAAGTGGAATTGCTGGGTTATATGGTAATTCTATTTTTAATTGTTTAAGAAATTTCCATACTGTTTTCCACATTCCCACCAACAGTGTACAAAGGTTCTCTTTTCTTCTCATAGTCACTAATATTTTTATTTGTGTTCTTTTTGGTGATAGCCATTCTGATAGGTGTGAGATGGTATTTCATTGTGGCTTTGATTTGCATTTCCCTAATGATTAGTTATGTTGAACATCTTTTTATGTGCCTTTAAATGTCTATTAAGGTCTTCTGCTCTTTTATTAAGATCAGGTTTTTTTTATGTTGAGTTGTATGAGCTATTTATATATGTTGAATATTAACCCCTTATCAGTCATATCACTTGCAAAAATGTTCTTCCATTGTAGGCTGTCTTTTCACTTTGTCAATGATTTTCTTTGCTGTGCAAAATCTTTTTAAGGTCCCATTTGTTTATTTTCGCTTTTATGTCCTCTATGTTAGAGACAGATCCAAAAAAAATATTGCTACAATTTATGTCAAAGAGTGTTCTGCCTGTGTTTTACTCTAGGAGCTTTATGGTTTCCAGTCTTGCATTTAGGTCTTTAATCCATTTTGAGCTTATTTTTCTGTATGGTGTTACAGAATGTCCTAATTTCCTTCCTTTACATGTAGCTGTCCAGTTTTCCCAGCACCACTTGTTTCCCCATTGTATATTTTTGCCTTCTTTGTCATAGATTAATTGACCATAGATGTGTGGGTTTACTTCTGAGCCTTCTATTCTCCACTGATCTGTGTCTATTTTTGTGTGAGTACCACACTGTTTTGATTACTGTAGCTTTGTAGTATAGTCTGAAGTTAGGGAGCATGATCCTCCAGCTGTGTTCTTCTTTCTCAAGATTGTTTTGGCTCTTCAGGGTCTTTTGTGTTTCCATACAAACATTAACATTTTTTGTTCCAGTTCTGTGAAAAATTTATTGGTGTCTTGATAGGGATTGCACTGAACCTGTAGATTGCCTTGGGTAGTATGGTCATTTTAACAATATTATTTCTTCCAATCCAAGAACAGAGTATATCTTTCCATCTGTTTGTGCCATCTTTAATTTCCTTCATCAACATCTTACAGTTTTTCAAATACAGGTCATTTACGTCTTTAGGCAGGTTTACTCCTATGTATTTTACTCTCTTTAACGAGATGATAAATGGGATTGTTTCCTTAGTTTCTCTTCTTGATACTTCATTCTCAATGCATAGACATGCGTGTGTTCTTACTGCCATGTCGTTAACTGTTGGGGGTTGTTTTTGTGTGTCTTTCCCCCACCTCCCTTTCTTCTTCTTTTGCTCTCGTCTCTTGTGATTTAATGACTCTCTTTTGTCTTATGTTTGGATTCCTTTTTCCTTTTTGTGTGTATATCTATTATAGACTTCTGGTTTGTGGTTTCCATGAGGCTTTTATATAGCAATCTATCTTTCTATCTATGACTGTTTTCAGTTGCTGATTTCTTAATTTTAAATGCGTTTTAACAAACCTTGCATTTGTACTCTGTTCCCCTCACAATTACTGTTTTTGATTTCATATTCTATATCTAATTGTTTTGTGTATCTCTTAAAAGCTTATGGTGGATACAGATGATTTTACTACTTTTCTTTTAACTGCCCTACTAGCTCTGCATGGATGATTTCCTACCTTTACCATATGTTTGCCTGTACTGATGAGCTTTTCCATTTTGTAATTTTACTTGTTTCTGTATTTCTTGCCTTTTCGTTTTCATCTAGAGAAGTTCCTTTAACATTTGTTGTAAAGCTGTTTTGGTGATGCTGAACTCTTTTAGCTTTTGCTTGTCCGTAAAGCTTTTAATCTCTCCATCAAACCCGAACAAGAGCTTTGCTGCATAGAGTATTCTTGGTTGTAGGTTCTGCCCTTTTACCACTTTAGATACATCATGCCACTCCCTTTTGGCCTGCAGTCT